TTTAATCCTTGGCGTCAATTAATATGATTGGTTGTTTTAATTGAGCCAATCAGGGAGAATACACTTATGTAAACTGATAGAAATGGCTGAATACAGGCCAAAGTGTGTTTCTTTGCATCACGAAAACAGCATAAATCTATAGAAACTTTGATTATAACTACTCAATCTTGACAACATAACTGGAGATAATAAACACTGATAATTACATACAACAATGAAGTAAATCTGATAAAAAGAAGCGAAGTTATGGTTAAATAACATGAAAAATATATGTATCCACATGGTAATAACGATAGACTTCTTGTTGAAAACTGTAAGTCTGATTGCTTTGATATTACATATATAGGTACTACATGTGGACCTCTCTCAGATTGTTCGTTTTGTGATGATATCTTCAATTCTATAATTAATTTATTTTGGTGAATATTTTTGTAATTTTTGGTAAAAAGTGATATTTTCGACTTCTTGTTAAAAACTGTAAGTCCGATTGCTTTGATACTATTCATATTGTTCATTTTCTAATGATGTCTTCAGTTCTTTAATTGAAATGTGCATTGCTAACAGCGGAGCTATCTCAGCCGATAGGCTGCTTGTTTAAATATAATTTTGAATACATGTAAAATGTGCTGGAAATTAAAAAAATTGTTTCTCAGACTGTCTGGTTTCACTAATTTTGGCGCTAAGAACCACTAATTTTGGCACTAAGAACCACTAATTTTGGCACTAAGAACCACTAATTTTGCCGCTAAGAACCACTAATTTTGCCGCTAAGAACCACTAATTTTGTCGCTAAGAACCACTAATTTTGGCGCTAAGAACCACTAATTTTGCCGCTAAGAACCACTAATTTTGCCGCTAAGAACCACTAATTTTGTCGCTAAGAACCACTGGCTCTAGTAACATTTTTACTGCTACAAAATTCAATGACTTTACTTAAGCAGAGATTTGAATCGGAAAATTGTGTGTACTTTCATATTGTATAAACTTTTGTTTCTTCTGTAGATGGTATTTTGGAAAGATAACCAGGGTTGAAGCTGAGAAAAAATTACTACTGCCCCAGAATGATCATGGTTCGTTTCTTATACGAGATAGTGAGAGCCGACGAGGAGAGTACTCCCTGTCAGGTCAGTTTCTCTGAATCTGTATTTTTCTGGTTTTTATAATTTCACTATTTTGATTTTTGATGTAAGTACAGGGATTGCGTTAACGCGGAATTACGCGTCCGGGAAGCATAGTTTTTCTGTGGGACGCATGAATTTTTCAACTGGTGAGTCCCTGGGACGCATCCGGTGAGCACACGTCTCGGTCGTATTATGATAGGTCTAAAGGCATTGTGTGCGTCTGCGATGCCATTGTCCCGCATACAAAGTTCATAGAGCTTTTAAATTCACGTACACTACTGTGCCATTGTCTTCAAAAACACCTATTAGCATCTACAATTCACAATGGAAAGTGTGAAGTCCCGTCTGAAGTACGGCGAGACAGTCAATACTGAGATCTGCTAATTTAACCGCCTAAAACTTACAATGTCACCCAGGGTAATTTTTCTCCAAAAAATTACTTTAACGAACCTGGTACGTGAAATAAACTTTATTTTCCTAATTTAATTGTAACGAAATTATATTCTAAACAAAGTAAAAACGATCACACTGCCGAGCACAAATGATC